TAGTTCTCAATAGTTCTCCAAAATTAACGTTAGTTCTCAAAAAATAAAAAAGTTACGAAGCATAAAAAGTGGGTACGCCAACTTCACAGTTATAGAATTTCCAGCGGGCACAGTTTTTTTACTATAAATGCCTATATCTATATACCAATCGTTAGTTCTTCGTTAGTTCTCGATAGTTCTCCAAAATTAACGTTAGTTCTCAAAAAATAAATAAGTTACGAAGCATAAAAAGTGGGTACGCCAACTTCACAGTTATAGAATTTCCAGCGGGCACAGTTTTTTTACTATAAATGCCTATATCTATATACCAATCGTTAGTTCTTCGTTAGTTCTCGATAGTTCTCCAATATATACGTCAGTTCTCAAAAAATAAAAAAGTTAAGAGGCATACAAAGTGGGTACGCACACTTCACAATAATAGAATTTCCAGCGGGCACAGTTTTTTTAGTATAAATACCTATATCTATATACCAATCGTTAGTTTTTCGTTAGTTCTCGATAGTTCTCCAATATTTACGTTAGTTCTCAAAAAATAAAAAAGTTAAGAGGCATACAAAGTGGGTACGCCAACTTCACAATTATAGAATTTCCAGCGGGCACAGTTTTTTTACTATAAATACCTATATCTATATACCAATCGTTAGTTCTTCGTTAGTTCTCGATAGTTCTCCAATATTAACGTTAGTTCTCAAAAAATAAAAAAGTTACGAAGCATAAAAAGTGGGTACGCCAACTTCACAGTTATAGAATTTCCAGCGGGCACAGTTTTTTTACTATAAATGCCTATATCTATATACCAATCGTTAGTTCTTCGTTAGTTCTCGATAGTTCTCCAATATTTACGTTAGTTCTCAAAAAATAAAAAAGCTACGAGGCATACAAAGTGGGTACGCTAACTTCACAATTATAGAATATCCAGCGGGCACCGTTTTATGACTATAAATGCTTATATCTATATGCCAATCGTTAGTTCTTCGTTAGTTCTCGATAGTTCTCCAATATTTGCGTTAGTTCTCAAAAAATGAAAAAGTTACGAAGCATAAAAAGTGGGTACGCCAACTTCACAATTATAGAATTTCCAGCGGGCACAGTTTTTTTTTAAATAAAAATGCTTACATCTATATACCAATCGTTAGTTCTTTGTTAGTTCTCGATAGTTCTCCAATATTTACGTTAGTTCTAAAAAAAAAATAAAAAAGTTACGAGGCATACAAAGTGAGTACGCTGACTTCAAAATTATAAAATTTCCAGCGGGCACCGTTTTCCGACTAAAAACGCTTAAATCTATATACCAATTTTTAGTTCCATGCATTGTAATTTGATTCATCTTCACACAATGAAAATCAAAGTAACACTGACATTAGAATAACTATCACATTATGATTCTCTCGAAGAGAAAGGATTGCTTATCAGTTCCAGGATAGCGCTTATCTGTGATATCCGCAATAGTAGTTGCAGGTGTCACTCGGTTAGATTATTTTTTAGGAGTGATAATTTTGATTACGTTATTAAAATGATTAACAGTTGAATATCAGTTAATATTATCAGTTAATTAGAACATCCAAAAAAGACAACGCTTCCAAAAATTGGTTTTAGATAAGCAATGAAATCATATTTATACCTACTTAGTTGTGTGAAAAAGTGCATTTTATAAAAAGTCCATCATGGAAACAAAATAAACTATCCATCAAAATGAAAACCAGAGTCTGCTAAGTAAAATGGTATAAAGTAATTTATAAGCAGTGATTATTTGAATTGGATTAAGCAGATAAAATATCAAAGAACTTCTGTTTGGTTAATTAAACTAATCGTTTGTATTGTTTGTATTTGTTTGTGTTCGTTATTAGTATTATAAAATTACATCATTAAACGTAACAAGTTACGAGTGACAGTTGCACGGATCGAGACTGGAAGGTCATACGGACTTGAACAAACTGGAGACTGGAGTAGTGGATGGAATAAATGTGTACAACACATTACTAGCATGGCGTATTGGGTATGGCGGGGTCGAGACAATATTTATTTAGTTGTATAGTAGTATACTGTAAGCATTTTTCGTTGAATGAAGGTGCGCGCTGGAAATCAGAAGCATTAAATAAGTTTATCTATTGATTATTGGCTATACGTATATTTATTTAATTTTTTTAGAACTAACAAAATAAATGAGTGAGCCCATCTTACGATTAATATTAAGATATAGGCACTTTTAGTCAGACAAGGGTGCACGCTAGGAATGATTTGGGTTTGAGGTTGGCATAACCACGTTTAAGACCTTATTGCCTTTTTATTTTTTAAGAACTAGTAATAATATTGGGGAACTAACACGACATAACGAAGAACTAAAAATTGGTAAATAGATATAAGCGTTTTTAGTCAGAAAACGGTGCCCGCAGGATATTTTATAAATTTGAAGTCAGCGTACTCACTTTGTACGCCTCGTAACTTTTTTATTTTTTTGAGAACTAACGTAAATATTACAGAACTATCGAGAACTAACGAAGACCTAACGATTGGTATATAGATATAGGCATTTATAGTCAGAAAAAGGTGCCCGCTGGAAATTGTATAATTGTGAAATTAGCGAACCCTCTTTGTATGCCTCGTAACTTTTTTATTTTTTTGAGAACTAACGTAAATATTGGAGAACTATCGAGAACTAACGAAGAACTAACGATTGGTATATAGATACAGGCATTAATAGTCAGTAAACAGTGCCCGCTGGAAATTCTATAATTGTGAAGTTAGCGTACCCACTTTGTATGCCTCGTAGCTTTTTTATTTTTTGAGAACCAACGTAAATATTGGAGAACTATCGAGAACTAACGAAGAACTAACGATTGGTGTATAGATATAAGCATTTATAGTCAGTAAACAGTGCCCGCTGGAAATTCTATAGTTGTGTAGTTGGCGTACCCACTTTTTATGCTTCGTAACTTTTTTATTTTTTGAGAACTAACGTTAATTTTGGAGAACTATCGAGAACTAACGAAGAACTAACGATTGGTATATAGATATAGGCATTTATATTAAAAAAACTGTTCCCGCTGGAAATTGTACAATTGTGAAGTTAGCGTACCCTCTTTGTATGCCTCTTAACTTTTTTATTTTTTGAGAACTAACGTAAATATTGGAGAACTATCGAGAACTAACGAAGAACTAACGATTGGTATATAGATACAGGCATTTATAGTCAGAAAACAGTGCCCGCTGGAAATTCTATAGTTGTGTAGTTGGCGTACCCCCTTTTTATGCTTCGTAACTTTTTTATTTTTTGAGAACTAACGTTAATTTTAGAGAACTATCGAGAACTAACGAAGAACTAACGATTGGTATATAGATATAGGTATTTATAGTAAAAAAACTGTGCCCGCTGGAAATTATATAATTGTGAAGTGTGCGTACCCACTTTGTATGCCTCTTAACTTTTTTATTTTTTGAGAACTAACGTAAATATTGGAGAACTATCGAGAACTAACGAAGAACTAACGATTGGTATATAGATATAGGCATTTATAGTAAAAAAACTGTGCCCGCTGGAAATTCTATAACTGTGAAGTTGGCGTACCCACTTTTTATGCTTCGTAACTTTTTTATTTTTTGAGAACTAACGTTAATTTTGGAGAACTATCGAGAACTAACGAAGTACTAACGATTGGTATATAGATATAGGCATTTATAGTAAAAAAACTGTTCCCGCTGGAAATTGTACAATTGTGAAGTTAGCGTACCCACTTTGTATGCCTCTTAACTTTTTTATTTTTTGAGAACTAACGTTAATATTGGAGAACTATCGAGAACTAACGAAGAACTAACGATTGGTATATAGATATAGGTATTTATAGTAAAAAAACTGTGCCCGCTGGAAATTCTATAATTGTGAAGTTGGCGTACCCACTTTGTATGCCTCTTAACTTTTTTATTTTTTGAGAACTAACGTAAATATTGGAGAACTATCGAGAACTAACGAAGAACTAACGATTGGTATATAGATATAGTCATTTATAGTAAAAAAACTGTGCCCGCTGGAAATTCTATAACTGTGAAGTTGGCGTACCCACTTTTTATGCTTCGTAACTTTTTTATTTTTTGAGAACTAACGTTAATTTTGGAGAACTATCGAGAACTAACGAAGAACTAACGATTGGTATATAGATATAGGCATTTATAGTATAAAAACTGTTCCCGCTGGAAATTGTACAATTGTGAAGTTAGCGTACCCACTTTGTATGCCTCATAACTTTTTTATTTTTTGAGAACTAACGAAAAAATTTGGGAACTATCGAGGACTAACGAAGAACTAACGATTGGTATATAGATGTAAACATTTCTCCTCAGAAAACGGCGCGTGATAGAACCCGGAAGTGTGAAGTTAGCGTACCCACTTATAATCGGCTATAACTTTTTTATTTTTTGAGAACTAACGAAAAAATTTGGGAACTATCGAGAACTAACGATGAACTAACGATTGGTATGATCAAAAGTGGATACGCTAATATGGGTACGCCAACTTCACGGACCTTTGTACTCGGGCTGATAATCCAGAGGTGCCGGGTTCGAATCCCGCTGGCAGCACTAACTTTTTGTCAATAATTTTTTTCATATCAACAAGTTTGGTTGGTTTGGTTTGGTTAGGTTATGACAGTTCAATTTTATAATTAAAAAATTATAAAATTTAATTTTAGGCATTTATAATTTTATTTTATGAACAAAACTATTTTTTAGATTAGTAAACCTTCATTCGATTTTTCATTATCAGCACGTTTGGTTAGGTTATGACAGTTGAATTTAATAATTGAAAAATTTTGAGATTAATTTTATATTTTTTCTTAATTTTATAATTAACTAGGCCTAATAGTGAAGTAAAAATTACGCCCTGTGCTCTCTACTAGAACGCTTTTAACGGAGGAATTTTGAACTAAACTATGATGTCATCGTTGCCTCATTTGTATCTCCCTTAAGTCAGACCCCTTGCCTTAACTTACTTGCCCTAATTTGATAAACTCTTGGTCTAATCAAATCAAGTAAACAAAACAACCACTCTTACAATTTGTGCTGTTGTGTAGGAAGGAAAGCCGAATCCGAAAGTTTTGTCATGTCATGTAATAGTGATAAGCGACTTTAGTGTCAGTGTCAGTACTAAGTGTGGTTTATCATTCAATCAATAGCTGAAATCAAGAGACTAAGCTTAGATCTTTCTGTTTTTCGCAGCTTATAGATAGGATATTCGAGTTTGTCAACAGGTTTGACTTTTCAATTTAGTTAGGCCTACACCTAGTTATTCATTTTCAAAATGATATTAGCTTCATCATCTGCATTTAGAATATCACAAAAGGTTAGAATTTAAATAAGTTAACTGATTTAAAGAACAAGTTTAGGGTACAGTTTCTTAACTGGGCTACCCTAATATTGATTGAAACTATTGATTCGATTAGTAACTTAAACCTTCATGCGATTTTTTCCTATTACGTTAATAAAAACCTAACCTTTGCGAAGTTTTGTTGGTTAGGTTAGGTTATAATAGTTAAATTTTATAATAGATATGTTTTAAAATATCGATTAGCCTATTAATCAATATTTTCAATTCGATAGTTTCAATCAATAACTTATTAGCGTAGCCCAGTTAAGAAACTGTACCCCAAGTGTTTAAGTTAGTGTAATCACCTAGGCTTAGGGTTGGCCTACTAATACAAGTCCCTACCTATAAGTTAAGGACGCACTGGCTAACTTGTACTAAACAGAATATAAATAAACTATTAGCCTCGTTTGTTAAACCTTTGCAAACGGTTTTTGCGGTTTTTGTTTGTGCTAGAGAGACACCAAATTGAGGTCAAATGTGGGCCCTAATTAATGTTATTCAATCATAAGTTAAATATGGCAAGCATATTTGAAAAAGTACGGTAATTTAAAGTGTTTTTCTCAGGATTTTAATTTTACAAAAACAGTCTACAGGCGACATAAACTAACAACTCGATACATTATAACCTAAACTTTAACTTACCTAATCTAACCTACCTTCAAAGGACTTAATGCAGTCACCAATTCACATAAAGGAGTGACTTGGTTCACACCAAGTCACCAAAGCACGACCTACGACGAATCTACCGATTTGGTGAACGAAATGGGAAACGCTGCACCAGCTGATCGTAGTCATAGTATCTTTAAGCGTTGCCAACTTATTTTCAAGTGTACACCTGTTACGTGCCTAATAAAAGCACACTGTTTTGTGTTATTTGGTTGGGATACTAGAGTGCGGCAAAAAATGAGTGCACCAAAAAAATTAATTGGCAAAAGTTACTAACTTAAATGCAGCAATTAGCTACTTTACGTGCTATTATCAGTGCAAGGAAGTCCACTTTGTCAGGTAGCCTAACTGTAGGGAATAGTTATTTGTGTAACTAGTGGGCGAAGTGGCACTTTGCTGCGCACAAGAGAAATTTTTATGCACCGTTTTTTAGAGCCGTAGGCGAGTTTGGAAAGTTTATCGAGTGCAGCAGAGGCAGTTTGCACTCGTGTTACACATCATATTTTTCCTACAGTTGCTATAATAAATAATTTAAATAATTAATTAGTCTTTCAAACACTGGACCATCATTTTTAGGTTAGGTTAAAACCGATAATTGCAGCAAATGGGAAACACTGCACCAGCTGATCGTAGTCGTAATATCTTTAAGTGTTGCCAACTTATTTTCAAGCGTACACGGATTAGGTGCATAATAAGAGCACACTGTTTTGTGTTTTTTGGTTGGAATTAGAAGTTGGTTAGAATTATATCCTATGAACCCCAACAGGAACACTGTAAACCCCTGTTCATTCGGCTACAAATTCCAACAGTGATTAACATTTATTTATTTGACTCTGTATCATACGTTCTAAAAAATCCCAACTTAATCAAACAAATTTCTCATGTTCATTATACTAGGAATAGAAGCGTTGCTGCCATAGATTTTTTCAGACTGTCTAAAACTCTTAAAAGCCATATTGTAATCTCACTAAAAATATACAACAAACTAATACATTTAATACAAAAATATCCTGAAAACACTTTTAAAACAAAATTCTACAGATGGCTTTTGAACAACCCATTCTATTCTCTAAATGAATTTTTTGAAATGTCTGGTATTAATTTTTAAGTAGAGTTAAGAGTTTGCGAATTGACCAAATTATTTACTGTTGGACTTTGTTGGTTATGCGGTTTAATCACTTCCATTATTTTCAATGCCACAAATTTTTCTTAAGATTAAGATTACCTATTCAATTGTAATATTTAAAATGTGTATTGTAAAGTGTCTCATTTTATGTAGTTAGCTATATTGTATCTTACTGTATTTATTAACTGACTATGCTATAAACCTTAGCAGTTGTATGACTTTGTCAATAATTTGTGAAAATTCTAAGGACAATAAACACATTTCATTTCATTTCATTTCATTTCAATACTGTTGCGCACTAAAGTAAAAACGCCAAAGTAAAGCTTTCAGTATATCTGTGTAGTATCTGTGCAAGGAAGCCCACTTTGTAGGGTGACTGTAGGAAAAGTATTTTGTAGGATAGTAGTATTGCCTATTATGCTACAAGGCTGTGAACAAGCTAAGTTAGATACCCACTGTGTGTAGTGAAAAACAATAAGTATTTTAAATTAAGGAACTATAGAATAAAAAAAAACCTTTAGTAGGTTAAAGTAAATAGTTAAGACACAGCTTATTCGTTTGGGTGAAAAAATTATCTGTACCCTCTGATACTGTTTTGATTTAAGATTTGCCCGTCACATCTTCAGGCGATTCGTTCTATTGCGACTACAAAGCTGTTCATTGATGGAAAATCTGTTGAGTCAAAAACCACAGATTGGATTGAGTTACACAACCCTGCTACGAATGAAGTAAGTACAGTTACAAGTTAGGCTCTACTAAGACAAGTGATTGGGATTTATTTGCCTGATATGTGGTGTTTTTTTTTTGTTTTTTTTTTAGAAAATATAGTCCTACTAGAGCACTAAAAGTCTCCATACATGATCCGACATATCCGATCTGCCAGGTTTGTCAAGACTGGCTCTTACCACACACGATCCGACCATCTTAGCGACATGATAGTGGAATCTTTGCGTAACTTTGGTTTTATTTGGTTACCATTGGACCTTCACACTTCTATTTGGGACAAAATGGCTGCAAGTTAGATTACACTTTCATGTGGTTCGCTCTGTCTTGAAGATGACAACCATCCTCACATCTCATGTTCTCGCACCTCGTAACTCACGTCAGTAACAGGACCTAAGGTTATCGATCTTTTTCTCAACAACATCTACCGTGTAGCTCCCTCCCGGTTCAATTTCCCAGAGTTTTTCTAACAAACCACCCAAATTCTCTGTTTTAAGAGTTTTATGCTGTACTGTTAACTATGGGTACGTCCCACAAGCACGGCATACTCCTGTATCTATATGCTCCCCCCCCCCCCCCCCCCACCTTTTGATATCAAAATATATTGTGAAGAGTGTTTATTGTATACATTCACAAAACAACTTCTGTGAACTGCCAGTCTAACATGTCAGTTGTATCCGCTTGGAATGCTCAACTGACCACGGACTTGTCCGAATGTTTTACTAACAGACAGTTGGAGTTGGATGGGTCGGCAGACATGTCTGCCAACATGTTGGGGGGGCTTCTAACATGATTGAGCTGTCATTCGACCCTCAGATATTTAAAACACCTTTTGTGTTTTAATCAGTTTGATATTATTTCCGTATTAGTTCTATAGACCTTGTGATTTTTTCCTCTCCAACTTAGGCTAAGTATATTGTGAGCAAAGGAGGCACCTACTCAGTTTGGATTTCTATTAAAATTGGGGTGGTCCACAACCTAGGGTATAAATATATTTTTTGTTTGTTTTTGAAAATAGGTAGGTAATACTGTGTAGCCTATAATAAATTGGTTCTTACTAGGAATTGTTTATAAAAAAATTTTTTTATAATCCTTTGATTAATTGTATACCTAAGCTTGATTCAATACACTTTCAAAATTATTAGCTTGACAAATTAGTTACTATTTAGTTAGGCTATTGAATCCTTGGTTAACATTTTTAACCCAACATCCTCTGAATTTAAAATATACAGTCACTGAATATGTTTTTCTATTTTCAAGTAACCCAAAGCTTGTTCAGGCATAATCATTAGCTGTAGGCCTAGGAATCTTTTGGCTGTGATATTTCATTTTAGATCAATGAACTTCAGAGTTTGTTTTGTTTACTAATTCTATTACTTGTGCTTTTTAATTTTAAAAAATCAATTGTATTCTAAAGCCCCTAGAAGTTTAATCTGTTAACTTGACGAAATATAAATTTTATCTAGTTTGTGATGAGCTTTGTAGTCCTTTAGATGCTTACCACTGGCTTTAGATAAACTCTTACTAATCTCATAGGTTCAATTCTGATGATAACATTTTGATATTGCCCCCAGCTGAATTAAGTTGTTTTTCAAAATGATAATGCTTTATCCTAACATATATTTGATTTGTACTTTTTTACTTATTTACAAGTATTGTGTTTAGTAAAATAAATAGGCCTATTTCTTTCTGCACATTGGCCCTATACCAAACAAAATGTGAAAAGTCTATTTGCTAAGTTATATACAAAGTCAAAGACAGTAATGTTAGTATGTCTTTGTTTGTTTAGGAAAATTTGTCTGATATAAGCTCTTTAACAGAGATACAGAGACAGTAAACATTAGAAAAGTCAAAGAAGAATGCAAAATTTACATAATTTTACAGAAATTATTAGGCTAATAGAATATTTTACAAGAGGCTATGTGACCTTTATGTCCAGGTAAAATAACAATATTAATATATCCGGAAGGTAATACACAAAATTTAAAATCCTTTAGCCAAATAACCTTGCCGCTTGCAAACATGCAAACAAAAGAATTTCCATTTGCATGAACAGATTTTTGTTCAATTATTTCCTTAAAGGTGTCAGATTTGAGATTTATTCAATAATGTGTTTCTTGTGACAACATATGTATTTCACGATCTTGTTGTGTTTCAAAACCGAGCAGTGATGCTCCAAAACTGTTTAAATCCTATAATAGATAGTGAATTGGCATCATCAAAAAAGGTATGTAAGTCCAACCAATAACATAGTTAGTTATTCTTTCAATCCTGGAGGGGAAAATGAATAACATAGTTGAATATTTTATTTTTCGTCAAGACAGCAGTCTTACTTGAATAGGAAAGAATCCAATCTAGCACCGCTTATTGAATATTTTGAAAATTGTTCATTGGATTTTCTGTCCAGGTTATCACCAGAGTACCAAAGGCTACACAGGATGAGATGGAGGCGGCCGTTGCATCTGCCAAAACTGCTTACAAGAGTTGGTCCAACACATCCCCTCTCACAAGGCAGCAGATTATGTTTAGATACCAGAGTATCATCAAGGCTAATATGGTGAGTGTGCTGTTTGGTATTTTTATAATTGTTATCATATGTTGCATATTTGATGTTTGTTTTTATTGTATTGTTGTTTTGAACTTGAAGACTTACTTTTGGGATCTTGGCTAATAAAGTATCTATGTTTACACTACGGGCTAGGTACGATACGAGACCTCGGGATCTCGTAGCGCAGTGAACGTGTTAAACTCTGCTCTTCGAACTGTCAAATTTAAGTAGGCCTATACAGCTGACTTAAAAATTAATTGATATATTTACATTCTTACAAAATGTAAACATGAAAAATTTGGAAGCCCATGGGGCGTAGCCCAAGGGAAATATGAGAATCAAATTATATAATATTGCATTTTCATCCATTAGTGAGCTATGTTTCAAGTTTCAAGTCTCTAGCTCATCAGTAACTTCGTTTAAAATTGATTTCAAAATTTTTAAGAAAGTGAGCTAATAAAAATAAGCCTATGGGGCGTAGCCCAAGGGAAGTGTGAAAATTAAGTGTTATAATATTGCATTGTCATCCATTTATGAGCTATTTTTCAAGTCTCTAGCTAATCGGGAAGTTAGTATAAAATTGATTGCAAAATTTGTACATAACAAGCCCATCGGGCATAGCCCAAGGGAAATATGAAAACTAAATGATCTAATATTGCATTGTCATCCATTTGTGAGCACTGTTTCAAGTTTCAAGTCTCTAGCTCATCGGGAAGTTAGTATAAAATTGATTTCAAAATTTGTACCGGACAAGAAAGCGAGCTAATAAAAACGTTTGAATTATACCGATATGAAAATCATTTTTCTATTTAAACATGACTATGTAACTAACAAAACCTTTTCACTGGTTAAAAAATAATAATATTAATATTGAAATAACCACAGCATATTTCAATGTTGTACAAACAAATCTTTAACATTTATTTGTGTCCTGTATATGGTGTTTTTTTCTGTGGTGCTTAATTCAGGGGTTTTTTTAGAAAGAGCTGGCGGCTAATATAACCCAAGAGCAAGGTAAAACTCTAGCCGATGCTGAAGGGGATGTTTTAAGGGGCTTACGTAAGTACAGATTTGTAGTTTAACGTTTAGCTTAGTTTTATTTTAAACATAATAAAGTACAGTTTTAAGTTTAATGATATAGAGTTATCACAAATTTGAATAGGCCCTACAATGTACGTTGAGATCACACTAGGTAAATTTTAGACTGCGTCCATCCAGTTTACAATTGATTGCCATCCAAGAAGTGTCCATGTAGGACTTACTAATTGCAATTCAAAAGCAAGCTGAACATTATAAGTACAAGTGTACCATACTATTGTTGTTTCAAATTTAAATTCTTTATTCACTCATAAACATCTTTAAGTACAAAGATAGGAGTGTCGTCATAAAGGTTTTGATTACTTAACTACCTTTTCCTATAAAATACATTTTCAACCAATTTTACCAACAAAGAGACTCATACTTTTGTTTTCTTTAATATTATTGGACTTGATATTATTTTTGGTTAGGCATATGGTGAAATGATTGTTTGCTACAGAGGTGGTAGAACATTGCTGCTCCATGCCGACACTACAACTGGGAGAGACTCTAGGTAACATCTCAAAAGACATGGATCTATTATCGTATCGTGTACCGCTGGGAGTCACTGCTGGAATCACTCCGTTCAACTTCCCTGCGATGATACCACTGTGGATGTTCCCTATGGCTATCACTCTGGGTAACACCCACGTCATTAAGGTAAGGGTGTACCCAACATATGCTAATTGAAACGTTCGATAGATCTAATTTAGTGTAGTAGTATACGGTAGAACCTCTCACATTCGGCCATTGATGTATATAGTCTAACTAGATTACGCTCAGCTGGTAATCCAAAATGGTCTGACACCGGCGTGCCGCTTACTTCCACTACTGGTAAGATAAGATAAGATCTTTATTTCCATTAGATATTCTTTTGAATACATTGGATATGTCAGGTTACAATATATAATCTATACAATAATAAATTGAACAAAGGGCTCATCCATCTTACACAAAATCATTGCAAGTCAATTTTTTTGTCAAATATTCATCAATTGAATAGAATGCATTTGCAAGTAAGAACCTGATTACAACAGTTTTAAATTTAATAATGTCCATGTCCCTAATAGCAAGGGGTAGCTTATTAAATAACCTTATGGCTAGTATAGATGGCTTTTTCATTGATTTACTTAATCTAACATAAGGCAATTGTAAGTCATGTCTTATTCTAGTGTTGTATGTAAGAGTGCACGTCATTATTATGCACCAAATCTGGTTGATCTTTAATGAATAGCAAGTTTTGCAAAATAAAGGCAGAATAAAGAGTTAAAATTTTTAAATGAACAAACCATGGTTTACAGTGAGTTTTATAATGAACTCCTGCAATGATTCGAACGGCACGTTTTTGTAGGATAAAAACATCTTTTGATGCTGAGGCACTGCCCCAGACAATCAAACCATAAGTAATCTTAGCATGAAATAAACCAAAGTAAGCTGTTCTAACTACATTTTGCGAGACGACACCACAGAGTCTTCTTAGAGCAAAAATGTCACAAGCCAATCTCATGCATAATTCCGATGAGTGATCCAACCAAGAAAGAGTAGGATCCAGCCGGACACCAAGGAACTTGGCTGAAATGCCCCCCTCCTCCTTGGTAAGATCCCTCAGGCCAAAAAACATAGTGGTGGTTTTTTCTCTATTCAAAATTAAATTGTTGGCATCCAGCCAGCCACTAACCTTATTTAAATTTTCCTGGATGTCAACTTCAGCCAATTCTTTGATTTTGTTTCTAGCGATCAATGTAGTGTCGTCTGCGTACATGAAAATTTCAGATGACACATTAACTTCTAAATCATTAATTAATACTAAAAAGAGCAGGGGCCCCAATACGGAGCCCTGCGGCACGCCCTGTGTAACATTTAACATCTTTGAACATTTACCATTGGCAAAAACATATTGACTTCTATTCTCTAAATAACTTAAAAAAAATGACAACTCCCTGCCTCTAACATTATAAAAACTTAGCTTATCTAACAAGTAATTGTGGTTGACTCTGTCGAAAGCCTTGCTGAGGTCGCAAAATGCGGCCCCAGCAAGCTCTCTCGACTCAAAAGAGTCCAAAATTTCCTCAACCAGATCTGTCAAGGCTGTAATTGTCGAAACACCCTTTCTGTAGCCATACTGCCTTGTGCTTAGAATGTTGTGCGTGTTAAAATGATCAATAAGCTGTTTACTTACAACAAGTTCAATTATTTTTGAAAATACAGGTACTATAGCAATGGGACGGTAGCTATTTACTTCTTGCTTGGCACCTTTGTTTTTATAAATAGGATGTACCTTACTGATTTTCAACACACTTGGGAAAGTCCCTTCATACAAGCACTGATTAACCATGGTGACAAGAATATCCATAAAATAGGTTGCAGTTTCTTTGACAAGGTTATTAGAGAAACCAAAATGATCTTTACTAGTTTTACAAGACAAGGAAGACACAATTTTAGACAAATCAGCAACATTAATACATTTAAACTTAAAACTATTAGAAACATCTGCCACAAAACTATGATTCTTTAATAATGACATTGAGTTAGGTACTGAAGCTTCAACAGTAAAAGATTCAACATGAGCATCCAAGCCTGTCTCATGTTTATGGCCCTTTTCACTTAAATTACTCACAAAAAATTCATTGAAATGATCAGGTGATATAACTACTTCATCTTTACTTACACTAGGCTTAGTCGTTTCCTTTACGACTTGCCAGATACACTTGACAGTATTTTTTGAATTAATTATTAAATTATCATTTGATTTTTTCTTTGCCGATTTAATCTTGGATCTATATTCCTTTTTCAACTCTCTATAGGCATTTTTAATTCTATCATTTGAGCCTACAGTGTTACACAGTGAATACAGAAAATCTAACCTATTTTTAATTAAAGCTAACTCGTTTGTGTACCAACCTTTTGTTTCATTAACATTCAAATCAAGTCTAGGCTTAAATTTCTTAAGAGGGAAACATATCTTAAAGTAATGGACTAGAGTATCTAGAAAGGTCTTGAAGTTCTCATCAATATCACTGTGAGGAAGTTCAAGCTCCCAGTCAATTTTACTTATCATAGCCTTGAAAATGTGGATGTTGTCTTCACTTATGTGATGATACAAAAGTTGTGGTTTATTTGACTCGCAACTCTTAAATTTCTCCCCATGGATGCAAAATTCTAATGTTTGTCCTAGATGGTCACTGAGATGCAGGTTTATAACTCCAGCGCTAAAAACGGAGGTGCCAAACACCAAAATGTTGTCCAAACAATTGTTTTCACGAGTAGGCTGATTTACAGTAACTTCAAATCCATACATTGAGCACAAATTTAGAAACTGATTTGTTGTGTTGTCGGGAATGTTGATTTTAATATTGAAATCCCCACAAACAATGGAAACTAGACCTAATTTGCCTAAGAACTCAAAAACCAAAGTGAGAGTGTCAAAAAAAAATATCTATGTCAGCACTGGGAGGTCTGTAGAGCAAAACCAAAGCCAAATTATTATTTATCTGTAAGCCTATCAGTTCACACATAAAAGGTTGAGAGAGTTTAGAAAATTTGTCAATTACCTTAAAGTTGATATTGTTCTTCACGTAAATTGCAAGCCCACCGTGCTTGCGTGGACCCCGGCACTGACTAGCTGCCAACTGAAAACCAGTTATGGAGAAGTATTGCAGTTTTTCCGAAGTTTGCCAATGTTCGGAGATGGCAATAAAGTCTGTACCCAACACTGACACAACCCGTTCTAATTCCTGCAGCTTTGGGTAATCAATATTTGCAATATTTTGATGTAGCAATTTAAGCTTAACTAGGCCTAGGCCTTGGTCACAATATTTATCCGTCCCACAGGTTGTAGGAGGCAATTGATTCATATGTCCACCAACACTGCCCATTATTGCCGAGTTCTCGGGCCTTAAGTCTTTTCCTGTAAAACTTGAGCTCTGTCGTTTAAAAAGTTCTTTTTCTTAGAAATAAATCTTGTAACATATGCGTTCTGAGGCCAAAACTCCGCAGAGAATACTTCATTCATTGCATGATTAGGCACCCCTATCTTAAACGAGGAGTAGTCTTTAGGATATTTAGTCTCTATTTTTTCTACTATGAAGTTATTGTCACCCTTCTTTTTCTTCAAGAAAGACTTAATATCATCACTTACCGTTTCAGGACCCAGACGTGATACAAAAAGAAAACTCATTTTCTCTATTGTGGTTAGGCCTGAGTCATTATCAACAGATTTTCCAGTAATATAATTCTTCTTGTTTCGGTTCAAGGATTTATTAGTCGGGTTCTTCATGATAAATTCCTTCTGTTGTTTTTTCTTAGATTTCACGACAGTGAATTCATCATCTTGGATGTTCGAATGTTTATCAACACTCACTTGTTGGTTATGTTTATGTTTTGGTTTCGGATTCGGCAAACTCGGATGCAAATTCGAATCTTCTAAACCAGAATTCAATTCCAGCATTTCGCTCCGTTGTTCCAATTCAGAGCTCGTAAGTGATGTTTGAATCAGATTAGTCCGAGTCGTTCGGGTTGAAGCAGACCGAGTCGTTCGGGTTGAAGCCTTATTTTGCGTGAGGTAATCTGATTCTGACTCCGATCGAGAATCGTCTTCCGTTGCATTTGCAGTCTGCTGAGGAGAACATGAAATAAATTCGACATCATGACAATCGTCAACTGGCGAGGTCAAAACACCGTTGCAATTCTGCTGATTATAAATAGTCTTTAATTTACTCTGATTTAAAAACACCTCTTGAGATTTACTTTTAACAGTTTTTTCCCTTGAATTACATTTTAATTTGCTAGCATAAGTATGCTGCTTATCATTGTCTAAAATTAGGTCACTGATGGCTTCGGCTTGGTTATTAATTGAGTCTTTTAATTTCCTATTTTCGTCCTTAATTGTACTCATACTGCTACTTAAAATTGTTTGATTAGTTTTCAGATCACTAATTTGATCTGACAAAATTTTAATTTGTTCAGCACACGTCAAATGGTTGTCCGAATTCACCGAATTGTCACCGGTTAACCTCACTTCCTTCACTGATATAGCGCGGCACTTGTTGCACATGTACACTGCTTTCCCATTTAATTCCATGAATAAATCATATTCCTCATTTGTAACTCCTATGCACAAACTGTGAAACCATAGTCTGCAATTACCAAAACAAAGCAATGCTTTGTTGGTTTTTGTAACATTTTTATCGCACGTACCACACTTGTGTCTACTGCTACCGACCATCTTCACTGGCGATGTGTATGAGGCGAACAAGAAAGAAATGGCCACGGAGTGTTTGAGTGGTTGTTGCTTTGAGACTTTGAGTGGTTGTCCACGGAGCGGCCCTCAGCTTTGACTGCTAACAAATCACACTTTTAACCTCCATGTTGTTGGAAATACGTTTTACATTAATTTATTTCTTTGTTGTTGTTATACATATTCTTTCTCTTTAGTACCTCCTCAAAACATTATTCAAAGTCCCAACACTTTTAAAAAATTAGTTTAGTACGTAGGGTGGAGGTATAACAAATTTTGATGATACCATATGCAATTTTTTTGCTACCCCAATTTCAAGAACTTGAATTATATTAGATTTACTTATTATGTTGTTGTTTCCTGAGTTCTTGTACAGGTAAGATGTTTGTGACACCCTATGCAATTCACCACCTGGTGCCTTCAG